AAATAAATAAATAAATAAATAAATAAATAAATAAATAAATAAATAAATAAATTGTATATAAATAAATGAGTGATTTTTTTCTTAATATCTGCTGCAGCATGCCTTAAGCCAGGAGGTACGGAAGTAACACTGTGAGTAATCAAGAAGAAGTGCTTGTAATATCAAACACCTCTGAGCAATTACTCATGGATGCATTTGGGGAGAAGGAGAGCAACAGTATGACAGAGCATGAGTCCCATATTACTCAATGGCCGGGAACCACAGGAAGATCACTAACCTAGCAGGTTACCTTTATAATTTAGGACTTGCAAGACACTAGAAGGCTTTTCCCCGTGGCCCATTTCAGTGCTCTGCCTTAATCCTTTTTAGAAGGAAAACAGCACATATATACCTTACAACCAATGTTTTTGCCCCTGCCAATCTTATATGGTGGAAACTGGGGAACATGTCCTGTTGTGCTGCACATTCTATAAAAACTCACAATCTGATCTCCCCAATTTTAAAACATTATCCAGGTATACCTGATGAATTTTACATCTCTTTTCTCCTTTCTAATTCCTCAAGTGAAATTTATAGCTAAAGCTGTAAAATTTATGCAGTGGCTTACCATAACAAAACAGATGACCACATCACTGTGGTAATCAGATTAAGAAGTTATTTGTAATCATAATCAGAATTTAAATCTGCTTTGTGTCAATTCTAAATGATATATGATTTGTTATTGTATATCAGTCTTGTCTATCTAATACGACTGACTTATGGTCATAATAATGATAAAGTAAAGTGGAGGGGGTGCCAACAACAAAGGCAACTGCAGTTGTCTGCTACCATGTTACGTGTGTGCATGGTGAAGCTTGAGTCCTTGTCCATCCATGAACAAAAGTGTTCAATATCAGGGTCTGCCTGGCAAAGTCTGCTTATTCTGATGGAATGTTTTGACAGCCTGGGATGTAACCAAAAAGTTTCTCGTTAGTCTGTGAATCATTGTAGATCTTTTCTTGGAGAAAAGTAAAAGGCAGTAGCAAGTAAGGCCTGCAAGTTCCAGGTGCCATGTGGGCTTCCCAAAGAGTTTCAACTGCAGGATATGCTCCACTTGTAGAGAGGACACTCCATTCCTTAAAGCTATGGAAACACCTTCCTTGTGCACATGGCTGCTAAAAATAAGAACATTAATAGAGCTTCCCAAGCTTGCCATATATCTCGTAATGACAATTGATCTATGGCAACGGTTCCCAAACTTGGGTAACCCAGGGGCTCTTGGACTGCAGTTCCCAGAAGCCTTCACCAACAGCTATGCTGGTCAAGGTTTCTGGGAGTTGCAGTCCAAGAACATCTGAGTTACCAAGATTGGGAACTACTGATCCATGGGATGGGGTTAAATCTTTGGAAAATTGGGAGGTGAGTAAGATTAATGAGTTGGGGGTGGATGGCATGGAGTGGTTATTCTGCCGTAGCGTTTCTCCAGTTTACTGAAAATCAAGTTACATGAAAGATTGGAATTCAATCAACCATAGTTTTGAATGCCATCATCTTTTGTTTGAAAACAGGTTGTATAATTATATTATCCTTCTGTTTTTCAGTGCAAAAGTGAACTATGTGGATGTGAAAAAAACAGTGTGGTGAGGATCAATTATTTTACAGCCATTTCAGCTGTGTTTGTGGGCAGTGCTGTGCAGGCCAACTATCCTTCCCAGCATCTTGGAGGGTTGTAGTGAGGATTATAGTGGATAATATTTGTAGTGTACTGTAGTGGATAGAGTGATGGACTAGGATACAGGAGACCTGGGTTCAATTCCCCATCTCTGTCATGGAAATTCATGGTGAGTGTGTATGTAACTGGTAAAATCCCTTCTTAAATCCCTACTTTGAAAGCCCTATTAAATTTGCTATAAGTCAGTTCTGACTTAAGGACACGTAACAACAGCAGCAACATTTGTAGTGCTTTGAAAACCCAAGCTTTAATCAACTTGAAACCAAGATGCATGTTCCCTACACAAACTGGTTGAAATACAGTAGTAAGTTACAACTAGGATACATCCACTGAATCAGTGGGGATTTGGTGAGGAAATTCTCTGTAAGTTTAATTGATTCTCTCGGCCTACTCTAGCTGCAACTTACTAATGGTCTTCGGCTTTTGTTTAGAAACATAGTGGAAGAACTGCTGCACTACGAAATTTTGGTAGGGGCATTGATGGCCACAAAAAGAGTTGGGGACCCAACAGGTTGTCTATTTTTCCTATACAACATGATGAATCCTGATAAGATCGTAATTTTCCTATTTGTATCCTTCCGTATGGTCAGTTCCAGTGATTTACTTGTATTCTTCTCTTCTTCTTTGTTTGGTAGCACGTTGACTGTGTAATTCTTGATGATGGTGGATTTCTTTTGATGACAAATCAGGAGGATTATCTTCCAGAGGTAGGTGTGTGATTTGAGTGGGATAGCTGATTGGGTTGTCAAGCCTCTTCAGAAATCAGTCCTGCTTTGATTATAACAAATCAAATCAACATATGCGCCTAGTTTCACAAAGCCTTGGCCTGAATCAAATTGTTAGTGCCAACTAAAGTAAATTAATTGAATGAACAGAAGTTCATGTGATTTCCATTGAGCCAATAGGTCTGCTCTTGGTAGGACTTGGAGTTAATCTTAAGATTTGGAGGGTGGGGGAATGGCTTGATCTGAATGTTAGAGTATATGCAAACTCATTACATATGTCATTTGGTACCACTGAAATCCAATTCTTACTTATACCACAAACTCATTTGGTATTCTTGTGCAAGTGCCTGTATTTCGCTCATAGCCTCCATCTACATAATGGCCTAAATCCTGTTGCACAGTTAAGCGAAAGGCATGACCTTTGGAAGCTAATTGTCATAAGTTAAGACATGTCCATAGACATTACAGATAACACTTGTGGAGATTTCTGAAGTTTGAACAGTTGGCCTGTAAAATGTACACCTTTTGCGTAAATATGAAACAAGATTTCTGCAAATAAGTCTAACATTTCTTTACAAGGTTGCCCAAGGGTTACTGGAGTAATGAATGTAAACCACCATGAGCACATGTATGCTATAAATTATTACAATCACATAGCAAGTATGTTATTGCTGTAAGATACTTTTCAAAATTCATTTTAAAAGCCTTCCTTCTGGCCCTGAAAGACGGCTTTAAATATATAAAGATACATATGCAGTTACTGATGCCAGCATTGTGTGAGGTGCATTCTTCTAAAACCAGCAGCTTCTGAACTTTTCAGCAGCACGTCCTCTCTTTATTTATGAGAATTTCTCATGCCTCCTACCTCTTACACCATTATCCAAACCCCTTTCTTCCAAGAATTGTACTTATAATTCAAAAATCAAAACACATACAGTACATCACAGTCTCATACCACTCAGTCGAATTTCTTCATGCTCCAAGAAAGGTGACACCCCAGGTTTGGGAAGAGATGTCCTAAACCAGGGGTGTCCAACCTTTCACCTTCCCTGGGCCACATTAGAAGATGAAAAATTGGTTTGGGCCGCACATACATTTGGTTTGGGCCGCATGGGGGGGCAGCCCTAGCCGTCCTCCGCAGCCCCGCTCCAAGTGCGCTTACCGGCAGCTGCGATCTCAGACAGTAGAGGCTGCCAACTTCGACTCCTGTGGCTTTATGGGGCCGAGATACATATGCAGTTACTGATGCCAGCATTGTGTGAGGTGCATTCTTCTAAAACCAGCAGCTTCTGAACTTTTCAGCAGCACGTCCTCTCTTTATTTATGAGAATTTCTCATGCCTCCCACCTCTTACACCATGATCCAAACCCCTTTCTTCCAAGAATTGTACTTATAATTCAAAAATTAAAACACATACAGTACATCACAGTCTCATACCACTCAGTCGAATTTCTTCATGCCCCAAGAAAGGTCACACCCCAAGTTTGGGAAGAGATGTCCTAAACATTACATAAAGGAAATTAAAGAACTTCCTTTGGAGTGCCAAAGAATGATGGAATTCTGGTTGCATATGTAGCATGCTGTGGCATCCTGATTTAATGCAGTGGTCTTCTCACTTCAGAGCTTATACTTCATATCTCACCATTTTTGATTTTTTAAAAAAATAACATATCCATACATAAATTTGATCAGAGCTTATACTTCATATCTCACCATTTTTGATTTTTTAAAAAATAACATATCCATACATAAATTTAAAGAAGAATTTTCAGAGTACTTGAATCTAAGGTATGGTTGACAGCCAGTTGAGAGAAGCAAACAAAAATCCATCTCCTCTCTCCTCCCACTTCCAGGAAAAAGTTTTACATTTAGGTTTTATTTTTTTCAAAAGTGATGCAATGAATCTGTGCTGCCCTAATACACTTTTAAAATATTTTTCCACTTCCTCAGCCCTTCAATGGAGTCAAGGAAATAAATAAATAAATAAATATTCTAAAAGGTACAGCACATCAGTGCTGCCCTTCTCGGCTTTAAAAAAAAGAAGAAACTTTCCTTCTTCCCTCTGTCCCTCTGCAGAGGAGTAGAAGAAGGAAGTTCTTAATTTTCTGAGCAAGGTTGCCCAAAATCAAGACAGAAATTTTTGCATTCTCAGACGAATACTTGAATATGTAACTTTGTAAATAAAAATAAATACAATTATTATGCCACCTTTCCTTTAAACTATACAATCCTCTTATCTTTCAGGACTGTACATAGTGTTAGTAAAATTGAGAGTAAGGGATTAACAACACAGTTTTTGAGACAAGCTGGTGCAAGCTAAATAGGGTTGGAAGGCAAGTGTGCCACTTCCCAGTATCATTAAGTGGCTAAGCTATCCATTTAAGCCACTAGTGATACTGGGAAATTGAAAACAGCTGAGGCATATGCACCTCAAGTGATCCTATTTGGACCATTTTCCTTAAGAAAAAAGAAAGGAAATGGGGGGACTTGTGCCTTGCCCCCTCCTGTCTCTTTCTCCTTGGCCCCTCTTGGGCACCCTCTTGCATAATGGAAGGCTTCCTCCTGCTTCCTCCTGGGTGGTTCACTCAAGCAATTATGTCATCTGATCACTGGCAAAAGGAGCAAATCAGCAGACCAAATAGCAGGCTAAATGCCCACGTTGTCATCCCCTAACTCCTCTCAATACCATCAGGTTATATCCATACTGGTTATGAGAAGCGTAGCTGAACAGCCAGCTTCCTCTCCCATGTGTCCTTTAGTACGAAGAGGAGTTCCTGAGCTACTATGCTGAGAAAAGTGACTGTTGGAAATGAGTACTAGCACAATGTCTGTGTAGAGCTGATGACTGACCAGCTATGCCTCATGAAAAACCCTACTGAATTCTGTGTATTGACCGTATTCAAAAGGTTCATTGTATACACAACTGGCTGGATAGCTCTGTGAGTTAGGTATCTGAGAGTGAGAGTTCAGTTCCCACTGTACATCCCAGAAGAGCCAGCCTGTGTGGTCTTGGGCAAGCTGCACAGTCCCAGGGAACCCCCAGAAGAAGGGGTTTACCCCAGTAAAAGTGGTTTACCACTTCTGAGTATTTGCTTCCTGGAAATCCCTGAAAAGGGTTGCCAAAGGTCAGAATTGACTTCATGGCACGTGATTATTATTTTATACACCTCTGAAACCTAGAGTGAAAATGGGCACACTCATGAATAAAATGAATGTACTGAAAATAAGTAGACCAACAGAGAAGCTAACTTCTATAATCTATGTCCCTGTACAACCTTGGATTCAGTCTTCAAAGAGAAATGTATTTCATCAATCACAGAAGTGTTTTTCCCCCCATTCCTTTTGCATCTAAGTCCTAGACAAAGAGTCTGGTCTTTGTAATATTCTATTACCATACTACAATCATTTCAGATGGCTGGTCTGTGAATATTGGCAGAAAGCTGTGATTAGCACCCGAGTCTCATATAAAATCAGGCTGCAGAGCCACCTCAGTTATATTGCATCGGTCTTGACCATAGCACTGAGGGTTAATCTAAGCAAATTAAGAACAGTCGCTTTCATTTGGTAAGCCTAAAGAGGAGGGCATCAATGTTTTGTTTTCCTACAGTACCTCTCTTTTCTTCACTAGATTGGAAAATTCTTTGGGGAGATTGACCCAGGCCTCATGAGAAACCTCATCAATATGTCCTTATATGCCTTCAACAAGTCATATGACTATCAGTCTGTGTGTGACCCAGAAGAAGAGCCAAGGCCAGGAGCTGGACTTCGCTCTGTCCATGTGGTCAGTGTCTTCTTATCCTTTTTCCCATCAGGGCTATCAGTGATATAAGTGCTCAGTGTTTGGAGATGCATATGATGTTACACTCCTTCCCTTCTATTTTCTAGCCTACAATAGCAGACCTTTTACATCTAGGGTGGTGGGCCTCTGCAGCTGCTTGGTAAGTTGAGCTCTTCAGTAAGGTTTTGTTGTACATTTTGACTGCACAAAGGTCCTGAGTCTGACCAAGCCCTGTATACAGTAGGGATTTCTTCATGGGTTTCCCCCCCTACATTCTTTCTGTTCAAGTTTATTATGTACAATAATTGGCTAGATAAAAATAAACTGCTGTCTTTAGCTGAGGATTAAATTTTATCTCAGCAACATACACACAGTTTCTCCCAGAGGTGGCAGGAAATCTTTTTAGAAATCTCTAACGTGGAGTAAATTAAGGTCTCTGCAGTGGAAACGAACCCTTGCAATCCAGAGAAGAAGCCTAAACAGAATGGCAATCTAAAGGGGTTATCAGTACTGATGTCAAACATAGATGTCTAGGTTCAATTCAGACTTTGGAATGTGCTTTTCCCCCCCACATGAAAGTGCTCTCTGGAAATGTAATGAAATCTTGGTAAGGAGTTGGTTGGAGCTGGAGGGAAGGATGCTATTAGGAAGGACATTAGTTAAGATTTGATAAAAATGAAAAGAGAAAGGCTACTCTCAAAAAAATGAATACAGTTAAACAGAAAAACTGCATTACATGGATGAACAGATCTCCCTTGTCACATATTGTTACTGTTCTGTGGGCTTGCTCTGTGCCTCAGCATTCTGCTTCACATATAGAGGGTTTCTACAATTTGGTGCATGCCCAGTTTTGCCACACCATTCATTCCCCCCCCATGGGGGGGGGAAATGTTTTTCCCCTGTGATGTATCCATTGCTAAAAACTGTGTTGCTTTACCAGAAGCAATGCAGTTCTGTGCTGTGTTGCATCAATATACCCAAGGGCTTATTTGAGTTAATTAGCCACAGTGGATGTGGGTGGGGAGTTACATGAATGAACAGCAGAAGCTAAAAGCTGTGGCCAACTGTGCATGGGCAACGGTCTGTGAAATATTTGGGACTCTGAGGGGTATATTGTAGAGTCCATTACATTGGTGGAGATTCAGAAATAACGGCAGAACTGGAAGAATCTGCCCAAAAATGAGGGAAGAATTTGGTTGTGAGAAGATTCAGCCATAAGTCAGGGGTGCAAAATGTGTGCTTCTTTGAGTGTCATTAGAAATGCAGTTCCAGTTATCCCTAGGCAACTGGGATAAAAAGCAAAGCAAAAAAGCAAAGCGTGCTGCTTATATACCGGCCCATAGTGCTTCAAGCGCTCTCTGGGCGGCTTACAAGTTAATTATGCAGGCTACACATTGCCCCCCCCCCCAGCAAGCTGGGTACTCATTTTACTGACCTCAGAAGGACAGAAGGCTGGGTCAACCTTGAGCCGGCTACCTGGAGTTGAATCCCAGGTCATGAGCACAGTTTTGGCTGCAGTACAGCAGTTTAACCACTGTGCCTTGAGGTGAAGGATGATGGAGGATGCAGTCAAACAGCATATAAGGAGGCACATGTTGCCCTCTGCTTCCCTTTAAAAACCACCACGCAGAAAATAAATCCTTCCTGCATGCACTACCCACACAACTACACCAGCAAAAATGTATTTTTTAAAAAAAAAACCTCTCCTTTGCTTAATTTTTTTCTTCTTTTACTGCTAGAGTAGGCAAGCCAATTTACAATCTTTAGCTGTAAATTGTTCCATTTGTAAAATTTAAAAACACAGAAATTAACACATGCCACAGACCTGATGTGGGAGGGCCTGGGAAATGCAGGCTGCTGGGTAAATGACCTGTACCAGTAGCTGCATAATCAAGAAGGGATTTTTTTCCTCTGAAAATCTTAACAAATATGTCAATGTCCTGTAAATAACTGTAGAGTAATAAAACCATACCAGCCATTCATTAGAAGATGAGAATTCCATGCATACAGGAATTCCTCCAGGCCAGCTTGAAAGCAGTAGCTCTGCCACTGGACCAGAAATTACTGGCTTGGGCAGAGGGCACCGTGTGCTGATTTACATTCTTCTGTACGTCATCTGATCGCCGGAAAATAATTGGTCCAAAATACGAGCTATTTCACTATTTGATTGCAACCAAGATTCCAAGACATTTACAAAAAACACATCAAAAACATTCATAATTGTATAATGAGGAGCATAGGGAGCTCTCATACCATCCCTATTATTATTCAATCAAAATGGTTGGAAGTTTCTAAAGTTTTTAATAAGATTTAAAAGTTGAAAGTACCACATCCGTAAAATTGCATTTTAGGCAATAATTCTTGTGTTTCTGTGTTCAGTACTCTGGTGTGTTCAAAATTATTAGCAGATTACAGAAGATAAGAGCATGTCACTGTTATGATCTCTATACCTAGCATTCCTCCAGCTACTATATCTCTCTGCAATTATATCTACTTCCAGGTCTATCTTACAGCAGCTCTTTTTGGGACTCACTTTTCCACGTTTTCTCAGTGCAGGTAAGTAAAGCATCAAAATGAGAGAACCTACCTGGCTTTTGCCTTTACATATCCTCACGGAAACTAAAAATATTCTTGTTCTCATAGTGGAAATGGAAGATGAAGACCTTAGTGCCATCCCTTCAAAGCAGAGCTGCATTACAGTGCAAACTCAGTATTTCTTTGCAAATGACGAAAAATCATTCAATGGCATCCTAGATTGTATAAACTGCTCCAGGTAGGTTTTCCTTTGGATCTCAAAATATCTAAGATCGTCCCTGGACATTGTTTCAAATATTAAAGAAACAGCCAAATAATTAATGGGAGGTAAGTGTATTAGTCTGTTGCAGCACAAACAACAGAGCCGAGGTACCTTAAAGCCTTGTTAGTCTAACTTGTTATGTGCATCAAATAGAAACCAGTTTATAATGATTCTGAGTCCCTGCCCAATACTCTGTTTGCTGCACCACCCTGGCTCCCTCCAATAAAGATTGTTAATCTAGAACAGCCATTCTCAACTTTTTCTGGCCATGGCCCTTTTAAAATCTCTTCTCAGGTTTCAGGACCCCCTGGAACCTGAGAATGATACATGAACAGATATATTTCAGAAACCTCTCACATTTTTTATCCTGTGGCCCCCTTCAAATGTGCCAGCCCCTCCCCAAGGGCCATATGGCCCCCATTGAGAATGGCTGAAAGGTGTCATAAGACTCTTTAACATTAATAGGAAACTGCTCTATTCTTTCATTGAAATAGTTAGGTAGGGATTCATATGAGGGATATACAGGAATATATATTCATGCACATGGTTACAATTTATTTATATTTCACTAGTAACGTCCAATATATATATTGTAGTCCTACCTGTGTAGCATTTAGGAGTAGTTGGCTAGACCTGGTTTGAGGAAAAACAGATGCGGTGGGTAGATCAGTCTGATACCCATCAGGAGGGGATATCTCTGAGCAAGATCTTGCTAATTATAGCTCTCTGGAGTGATATTAAAAACTTTGTGTTTTAGTGGATGACTCAAAACAGTTGTGGAGAATTACCTGCTTGTTTCTTCTTTCTCTTAAATGTTTGTGTGTTCTGCTCTCAGACTTTTCCATGCAGAGAAAATTTCCAATACAAATTTAGTATTCATAATGAGTGACAGCAAAGATATGTGCCGTCATTGCGATGCAAGACCGTTGATGCAAGCAGAGAAGCCCGGTATCCTTTGAAGCTTCATTTTTGCCCTGGATTGTGTTTGCTTCCAGATGAATACATTTGAAAGTCATGCAGAAGCAGCTATGGCTGATTCTCATTTGCCCTCTAAGAAGTCACTTAGTTCATATATACCTGGCGATTGTAACTGTCCTTATGCAGGTAGAGGAAGTAGCATACAGACATATACCTTCCATCACAAGGATTGAATTGTGCATGAGATAAACATGTAAGGCATAATAAGTAATAATAAGTAATATCCTACTTTCATGACAGTAATATATTATAATATATCTCAGAACAAGGTATGTCGATAAAACAGTAGTGTTATTTAATGATGCATGCATGAATGAATTTTTAAGTTAAATTGAGAAACATGGCTTCTGTACAGCTGCTTGACTTGATGACACTTATTTTTTTCTTTCTTTCAGCAAACAGTTCCAAATTCTCTACTAGGACCTCATAAGGCTGAGGATTGTCATTAATGATGGGAGTATTCGTACGTGAATATGTATGCAAATAGCCCCGCACAGCTGGATGTAATGAGTCTCATGCGTTTGCCGCTGGCTCTGGCTCTGCTTTCCCTTCCAGTCACTCTGGAGTGCCTGGTCGGCTATTCACTCGTCAGCCTGGCAGGGAGACGCGTCTTCCCTCCTTCTGCTAGGAGTAGATAGCCAACCGGGAGCTCCAAAGCAATTGGAAGTGAAAGCAGAGTCAGCACTGGACACAGGAATGGATGGTCTGGCCCCAGAGGGCTGGACCCTTGTTATGTCCAGCTGTGCAGGGGGGGTATTTGTATTCATATTTATATACAAATACCCCCATCTCTAATTGGCATACCTAAGTCTAAGCTTACCAGATGTGCTTGCTCACCTAACTGAACCTTAACGGAAAGAAGCAGAAAGTGCTGCTCTGTTGATAAGACAAAAATAATTCTGGATTTCCAGTTTTTAGATGAACCAATCCAGAGACCTAATTCTTTCTGCAAATTTTAGGGATACTATTCTTCTTTTGTGCTTTCAGAAAGCCTTTATGTGCACCCAAGTGTCTTCAGAAGGCAAATATTTTTGCCTCTCATTTTCAGTTGGAAATCAAGAGAAAGAAAGCCCTCTTTTCTCCTCACGGCAGAATTTCTCTGTGCAGGTATTCTTCCTGCACTCTTGGGAAATCTCTCAGGAAATTTTGTGGGGTTTCCTAGAAGTTTCATAGTCTTATATGTATATATTTGAAGAAGCATCAAATTGTAGGGGTCACCGGAGAGGACATTGTATTGCACAAAATTTGGCAGTTCCCCATGCGAAATATCAGAAAATAAGATAAGATAAAATAGGACTCAAATGAGACTGTGGTTTGGGTTTCATGGGAAACTGAGAGATCTCTGCAGGGAGAAGCCTCAATGAGGAGTCTTGTAATGGTGGCACTCAGAAAACCACTAAAATTATCGGAGTACTCTTCACATCTCTAATACACACAGGTGTTGAAATCAGACAAGTATCCAAAATGAGAAGCACTGAGATATGAACTCTTTCCACTCAAAAAGGCCAACTAAAATCCATATTTTGTCCAGCAGAGATACATTGACTGCTTTGGTTAGGGTCTGACATGAGTTAGGGGTGATGAGGACCATCCCCTTTCCAGGGCTGCTATTACTTTCCTGCCAGCCTTCAAACATTTACTTAAGAGGAAGGAAAAAGCTTTCTTTTGTCGCCTTTTTCTGTGTCAAAAGACTCCATGTGTACCACATTTTCTTCTCCTCAGACTGTCCTTCATATGGAGGTAGCAAGAGGCAAAGGGTAGAGCTTTGATTAACTCTATCCCTGCTCTCAGTTTCAAAGTAATAATTTTCTGAACACCTGAAAAAGTCTGGAGTGACCCCTGCTGAGGGTCTCCTGTATTTATTGATTAATTGATTGATTGATATTATTGTATGCCACCTTTCTACCATAGGGGACCCAAGGCAGCTCACAACAATTAAGACTGTACAATAATAAGTTTAGAATACTATGCAAAGCTACATTAAAACAATTAAACATTAATCAAGATTAAAAACCATGTTTAAAACATTTTAAAATATCTAAATAGATACTTATTGCTTAAAGGCCTACCTGAAAAAGAAAGTCTTTGGCTGATGACAGAAGGAGAAAAGGGAGGGGACCAACCTGGATTCTTGGGGCAATGCAATCAAAAACCTGAGAGCAGCCACTAAGAACCCTCTCATGTCTTCACCAGGCAAGCTTGAGAAGGTGGTGGAACCAAGAGAAGAGCTTCCCCAAGAAGATCTTAAAAGCCGAATAAGCTCATGTGGGGTGATAGGATCCTTCAGATAGTCTGGACCCAAGCCACATAGGGCTTTGTAGATAATAAGTATCACTTTGAATTGAGCCAAGAAACAGACTGGCAGCCAGTGAAGCTGTTGCAAAAAGGGAGTTCCATGTTCCATGTAACCACTGCCAGTCAGCACTCTGGCTGCTGCATTTTAAACCAGCTGAAGTTGCCAAAGACTCTTAAAGGCAGCTCCAAGTAGAGCACATTGCAGCAATCTAGACAAGTTATAACTAAGGCATGTGTTACCTTGGCCAGATTGGACATCTCAAGGAATGGGGGGCAGCTGGTGGCATTCCCAGCCACCTCGGAGACATGCACCTCCAAGCTCAGAGCTGAGTCAAATTGTAAACCTGCCTTTTCAGCGGGAAGGCTGGATCCCTATTCCCTGATTTTCCTTGTGACTGATCAGGAGCAACTTTGTCTTGTCTGGATTACATTTGAGTTTGTTTGCCTTCATCCCGTGCATTACTGACAAAAGGCACTAGTCTCAGCACAGAACAGCTTTCTTGGAATCAGATGGGAAGAAGAGAAAGAGTTGGATGTCATTAGCATACCGATTGCACTGAACCTCCAAACTCTGGACAATCTCTCCCAGTGATTTCATGTATATGTTGAATAAAATTGGACAATCTCTCCCAGTGGTTTCATGTATATGTTGAATAAAATGGGGGGACAAAACTAAACTCTGGGGGACACCACAGGACAGTGGCCATGGAGTTGAACAGGATTCCCCTCAACACCATTTTCTGAGTTCAACCCTTCAGGAAGGATTAGAGCCACTGTAAGACAGCACCTCCTAGACCCATCCCAGAAAGGTGCCCCGGAAGGATACAATGTTTGATGGTATCAAAAGCTGCTGGGAGGTTCAGCAGAACCAACAGGGGCATGCTCTACTTGTCCAATTCCCAGTGTAAGTCATCCACCAAGGCATCCAAAGCCATCTCTGTTCTGTAACTAGTCCTGAAGCTAGATTGAAATGGGTCTGGATAATCCATATCATCCAGGAATCTTGGATGTGATGCCACCACACTCCAAAACTTTGCCCAAAAATGAAATGTTGGATATTGGCCAATAATTATCCAAAGGGACTAAAGGAGGGCTTAAAAAAATGTTTTACTACTGCCTCCTGTAGGCATGCCGGTACCCTGCCTTGCTGCAAGGAAGCATTCACCGCCACCCTAACTCATTCAGTCTATCCACAGATATTCACCTCTCCAAAGACAAAGATGGGTCACAAAACCTGTCATCGTCTCCCCAAAGACAGCCTTTCATCTCTTTGTCTGCTTAATCTGGGGGTAAATCCCACAGGACTCAATAAGACTTCTCAATAGATTTGTATAAAGTTGCGCTGTGTATGTAAATGTGACAATTCTGTTCTCCGTGTCCTTAACTAATGTTTAGATGAAGGGCCTAACCCCTGTGAAATGGTTCAGCAACCCCGATACAGAAAAGGACCTGAGGTCTGCTTTGATGATGCTCCCAATGTAAGTTTGCTCTTCTGATACAGGGAGAACTTGGTTTCCCTGCAATCAGAAATATATATTTCTACAAAATAGTTTCTGCATTGAAATGCCCATCAACTTTGATCTCTCATTAAACTTGATTCTTGACTACCGTTGCTCTATTTCGTGTTTCCACAATTAACATAAAATTAACAGCTCTTTTTTTTCTGATTTGCCTTTGCTTTACTTACTGTGCTTTCACACATGATTCCCATCAAGTGCAGCAGGACAATACTGCACATAATGGTGCCAGAACCTCTGTGATGGTCTTCCATAGCTGTTGTCAAAATCTTTGAAAAGTTGCCTTGTTAAGCATGGTGGCTTTTCCTTTTGTCCTGCAGGTAATTGGCCTGGAGTGGCCACCTTCAAACTTTTCCTGGTTGTGGCACATTGTGATCTAGAAGATTAATTGTGTGGACTGCCACATGAATTTGATTACAAACTCACCTACGGTCTTCCAGCAGTGTCCTAATGTAGCCCAAGCTGTTATAAAGCCCTGCTAGCACATGGTTGCTGTGATGCAGCAAAAGCATTTGTGCAGAGATATTTAGTATATAGTGTACTATGTTCTCACATACATGAATGCATACATGCAAGTGTATGGAATTATTTTTAACAGTTCAACAGCTGGAGAAGGGGGAGGGGGAGAGAAAAAATGGCTCCAAAGAGCAGTCAACCTGCCAGCCCATCAATGAACCTTCCCTTGCCTAAATGCTGGGCAAAGCTATAGGAACATAATATATGTGAATCCACATGGATGCAAGTCACTCAGTGAGCTCCTCCTGCCATCTGGGACTGAAGTGGATGCCAAAGCGTCCAAGATGTGGATGTCCTCAAAATCCCTTAAGGGGTTATGTAACCTAGCTAGGGAGATGGTGCAGAGGCCCTCTCCCCCCTTACAAGAAGACCTGGCCCAGAAAAGCTGTTGTAAGTCAATAGCAAGATGACAAGTATAACTCAAATGAAAAACCATAAGGAGGGATGTTCAATCCCCAGACCCACAGCTTGCAGGCTTCATCAGTCTAAAGAGAGGAAAGGGTGGGTGATTTAAAAAAAGAAAAAGAACAAAGTGCTCTGTAATTCGGTGAAATAAGGATGATAACAGGATGGGGCAGTGATTAAAAAACAACAGCAACAAATATGAATGAGGTGTTGGAAGCCAACATATGGTGAGAAGTAGGCTGCATCTTCCATAGGCTTTAAGACATTTTAGGCAACTGTAGTCATAGCCATCATCCTTAAGGTGTACACAATGACTGACAAATACAGGTAAGTAGTAGAACTCTACGCTCTGTCCTAAACACAGAGATGCTTCTTCTCATAGCATTTTGACAGAGGTGTGAAGAGAAGAGATATAGATAAATTAGATTTCCTGTTCACATAATTCCTTGGTCTGATCTGAGTAATCTCTCAGTGCAGAAACAGGCTAAAAGTTTTTTTGTGCACGAAAACAGAAATGTGCACTATCCCCCCACTTTGGAATGGGGGCTTGATTTTCACGGAGCTTAGCAAGGCTGCTTTTCAGGACTACAATTCCCAAAATCCTTCAGCTGGTAAGGCCCTTGGCCAGATCAGCTAGGTGATTCTGAGAACTGTAATTTTTTCCAAGTGCTGGGATTTCAGGATGATAGTGAAGGAAATTTCCCCTTGGGAATCCTCTATACAGTGGGGTCTTGACTTGAGAACTTAATCCGTATTGGAAGGCGGTTCTCAAGTCAAAAAGTCTGTAAGTCAAGTCTCCATTGACCTACAGTGCATTGAAAACCGATTAATCCCGTAACAGGCCGTTTTTGTTCCATTTTGGTTTTTTTCTGGTCTGTAAGTCAAATCTCAGTCTGCAAGTCAAACCTAAATTTTGTGGCCAGAGAAGTCTGTAACTCAAAAAGTCTGTAAGTCAAGCCGTCTGTAAGTCAAGGCAAGTGCTGGGATTTCAGGATGATAGTGAAAGAAATTTCCCCTTGGGAATCCTCTATACTGTGCTTGTTTCTAACAATACAGGCACAGAGACAAGCATGAATTAATTTTTATTTACAATGTGCCATACAGGGAACATTGAAGCATTAGAATATTCTTATTAGAAAATACAATTAAAGGAGAAAGCTGGCAGCATATTCAAAGACTTAAATCAAAAAGGGAAAAAATGTGTGCTACTTTTATGCTGCCTCATAATGCTTAAAGCACTTTCTGAGCAGGTTTTGGTACTGTGCTTGTTTCTAACAATACAGGCACAGAGACAAGCATGAATTAATTTTTATTTACAATGTGCCATACAGGGAACATTGAAGCATTAGAATATTCTTATTAGAAAATACAATTAAAGGAGAAAGCTGGCAGCATATTCAAAGACTTAAATCAAAAAGGGAAAAAATGTGTGCTACTTTTATGCTGCCCCATAATGCTTAAAGCACTTTCTGAGCAGTTTTTTTTTACAATTTAATTCTGCAAACTACACTTTGGTCTGCCAGCAAGCTGGATACTCAATTTACTGACCTCAGAAGGATGGTAGGCTGAGTGAACCTTAAGCTGGCTACCTAGGATTGAACCTGGATTGTGAGCAGTTTTGACTTCAGTACTGCAATTTAACCACTGTGCCACAGGCTTTGATCACGGGATGCCCTAAAAACATAGGACCCATTGTGTGTGAAAGTACAAGGAGCCTTGCTCACTAGCTTGGTATGCTATTTTGTGTGTTGTGCATTGTGTTTTCTGCAATAGTAACAGTGTAATTTTTATTAAGTTTCCTTTGCAGTTCTTGCTGTGAAGTTCTTTGCTCTTTTCGGTGAATGCTTTTCACATGAACTCTGCTAACTGCCAGCAAATTGCATGAGATCTCATCTTGTATGTGTTTCTTTCTGTGTCTTCTTTCCTTTCCTCTACTCGCTACTTTGCCTGTTTGTTGATAGGATCAGCCTATATGCACAACGAGTCGTGCCTCTGCCATGACGTCCGCTCCTATCTTCATTTTTCTGCAAGTTTTCATGTGGTGTGGATGGTCAGTTACTTTCTCTAATTTTTTGTTCTCTTTTGTGTGTGGTTTTTTTTCCTTCAGAGTTTAGCTTTTTTGTTAGCATATCATTTTAGAAAACAGTGCTAATGTGGGTACTTCTTTGGGTTTGGGAGGAATATGGTGCAATCTCCTTTATTTTTGTGGGCAGTGGGTCAGGGACCACTTAAGAGGCTGTTTTACGTAGGAAGAGATTTGGGGAGGCCTCCAGATCACATTTTTAAAATTCTAAATGAAAGAGTCTGTGGTGAATTATTCAGTCTGTAATTCTGTTTCTTTATTTGTTAATTTATATTGACAGTCAAGCTGGACATTAAAGGAAATGCATATTCCCTGTGATTAACTCTTCAATCCCCTCCCACAACTAGTTTTTTTTAGGGACATGCCTTTCACACCTAGGGGGAACATCCCTCAAAAACATGGTTGTCTACTTTGACCCTCAGTTATGTGTTTCTCTCTTGTTGCATAAAGAGAGCAGATTTGCAGTCTCTCCCAGGAACAACTTGGGAGAAGGTATAAAGCTGAGACAGGCTGAATGGATTACTTGCCCTTAAGGTGAGAGGTTTAAACTGAAACAAATTAAAACAAAAAGGAAGACCAGCTACCATACAGATCCGCTGCATAGTAAATATCTTGCATTTCATTCTGTAACATTAACTTTCTAAGTAAGCATGCTGTTTAGATGCAAAACCAAATCTGTGCTGAATCCAGCTTGTGATATCAGCATGACTACAGGTATCTTAGTGCATTTTGCAGCAATTATCGTGGGGAATATTCTTGTGCTTGACTTATTTATGAGGTGGATAAGAAACGTATGTTCATGTCTTGTCTTTCATTGTATAGCCATCTTTGAGGTGCCTGATTGTCCAACCTAGTTGACTTTAATTCCCAAAAGCATTCACCACTTGCTGTGCTGGCCAAGATTTCTGGGAGTTGCAGTCCAAGAACATCTGGGGACCCAAATTTGAGAACCACTGGTCTAACTGACACCTAGAAAAGAGGACAGGAACTTTTATCAGTTCAGTGTCAGGACATAATGAATATTTGCAAGTTTCCTTATCCTCAGTTTAAAGGGGGAGGGGATTCTTGCCATCAATAAAATTGTCAACTGCTGCAAGATTTTTTGCTCCAGCAAAAGAGGGCCTTTTTTGCTGCAGGATTGGCAAAACAAAACAAAAAGGTTTTTTGCACAAAACCTTGTACTGCAAAACACATGCTTTTTAGTAATATACACATTTTCCCATGAAATACACTGGCCAAATCCTGTTGCTTAGCATAGTAAATTGCACTAGAGTTAGGACTATAGAATCAGTGGGGATTTGGTGAGTCAACTTCTCCATAAGTTACATTGATTCGAATGAGCTTACTTTAACTGCAACTTACTATGATACATAATTCACAACTGGAGCGGGCTGATTTGAATCAATAGAGCTTATGGAGAAGGTGATTCACCAAATCCCCTTTGATTTAATAGGCCTACTCTAGTGTAATTTACTATGCTAAGCAACAGGATTTTGGCCATTGTTTTTTAATACCTCACCGTACAAATTATTTGTAAAGGTCCAAAATATGACGCATGCACAAAAACTTTCATAGTCATGCCTAGGGGGAAGAAAACTTTTTGAATTTTTCACTGGCATCTCTAAGAGTGAGATAAGTAAAAAGTTACATCTCTTTTTGGTTAATTTTTTTTTAGTCATTTAGAAAGGAGGCTTGTTCGTTTTCTAAACTACTATCAAAACGGTAGAGAGATTATTTGTAGGGACATCAGTGTGAGTAGAGGGGGTAGGTATTCAGTCCTCCACAATGCTGATTTCTGCTTCAGATTTGTGGAGCTCCATTTATCAGAGGTCCACCCCGTGGCAGAAAGAATATTTGTACTGAAAGCAGTGAGGGCATTTCTAGAGCATTCTCATTGACCTGAGCATCATTTTTCTATCATTACCCTAGTCTTAGCTTTCCAGAGCACCACTAGAGGGAGACAACATCATGGCCATGTCTAACAGCATCTAACAGAGAACACTCATAAAAGTCAAAAAGGGTTGGTGTACTATATCATTGGGAACAGAATGTATTCATTTGCGTAGATATTGTGACTATCTCATATTTATCTGTGGGGTTGTAGAATTTATTTAGTACATAAAAAACTAAGCAGTAGTTTCTGGCTTTTATTATTTTCATGGTTATAAATACGCTTATGTTTGGCAATTAGCTTTTTGTACATTGTATTTTAGATATATCCATAGTCTGTTAAAGACCTCTACATTTTAGAGAAAGGGTATGAAACAACAACAACAATAACGGAATGCAGAATGCATGTGAACCGATTTTCCTGCACTGGCATGGTGCCTGTGCACAGATTCCCACAGTGTTGGGCCATAGGAAATCCTGTTCCTGTACCCCCAGATATAATGCGTATACATGAATAAATATTATTTCAGACCATTGCAGCAAATGAGGAGGTATAGCCGCCTCCACTTCCTCCTCCATCTACTTCCAGCTTTTCATGTTATACTCTGTAAAGGAATAAACACCTTAAGTTTATATCCTTTTACTAGGGATGCGACTATCCTAGCCTCTTGCTCTCCCCGTGAAAACCAAGAAAGAAATAACTCTTTTTGTATTCGCAAAGGCTTTCACGGCCGGGATCTAATGATTGTTGTGGGTTTTTCAGGCTCTTTTGCCGTGTTCTGAAGGTTGTTCCTGCTTAACAAAACATAGGGGTGTGACAAGTACTTGCACAGTTTCTTGCTCTCTGTGATTTTCTGCATCTCTCTGTGCCAAGGCTCTCTATGACAACTACCCTCTTCATTACTAACATTTTTGCCTATTGTCATAGGCAGGAAACTGCTAAAGTCTGCACAGTGCAAGGCCCTTTCCAATGAAACCTGAAGAGGAAGGATGCCATTCTCAGAGTGACAAGACTACACAGAGAAATCTCACTGTGGGGAGAAAAGAGTTATTTGGTTGTTGTGGGTTTTTCGGGCTCTTTTTTCCCGTGTTCTGAAGGTTGTTCTTCCTAACGTTTCGCCAGTCTCTGTGGCTGGCATCTTCAGGGGACAGCATTTGTTGAGAGCACAGAGTGCTGTTCTCTGAAGATGCCGGCCACAGAGACTGGCGAAACGTTAGGAAGAACAACCTTCAGAACACGGGAAAAAAGAGCCCGAAAAACCCACAACAACCAAATAACTCTTTTCTCCCCACAGTGAGATTTCTCTGTGTAGTCTTGTCACTCTGAGAATGGCATCCTTCCTCTTCAGGTTTCATTGGAAAGGGCCTTGCACTGTGCAGACTTTAGCAGTTTCCTGCCTATGACAATAGGCAAAAATGTTAGTAATGAAGAGGGTAGTTGTCATAGAGAGCCTTGGCACAGAGAGATGCAGAAAATCACAGAGAGCAAGAAACTGTGCAAGTACTTGTCACACCCCTATGTTTTGTTAAGCAGGAGAGGGCAAAATGAAGATATAAAAGGCGCATACACCTCCTGTGGAAAGGAATAGTATCTTCTGTGTTTGTCTGTCCCATTTCCAAAGGATGCAAACAAGAATGGTTCTGTTTTTCCATTTGGGACTCGCTCCATCTCAAAGGATTTAAATGGAAATGGAGTGTTTGCTTCAGGACTCTTGCCTAACTCTCATCACAGCTGCCTCATTCAGATGCTCCTCTGTTCCACGTTCCATCAACTTCAACCACCTTCAGTGTTAGGTGCACATATATCACTCACTAGAAACAGCTAAGTATGCACTGAAAGGACAACTCCTGACATGAAAAACAGAGCACATCCATGTTCCACAGCTCCCAGAGTTCTCCAGCAGGTGTGGCCAAACTGTTTGAGGGGATTCTAGGGGGTTTTAGTTTGAAGAACCAATTTTCCCAAGCTCTGCTGCATGAATTTTATGGAGTCATCTGGAGAGGCAAGACTGAAGCCTCTTATCCTCATGCACTTAGGTGCTAATGTTCATCCCCATACATGTGTGGGGTATTTAATTGTTAAAAAATGTGACATGATTGCTTATCTTATAATTTAGTGTCACATGTCATTGCTTCTTTCCCTCCCTGTTTTCATTTGTCTCCTTCTATATTTAAAAGAAATCATACAAACAAATCATATGAACTTGTTCTTTTGTGTGCATTTCCTGAAGTCCTTGACCAGAATCTAGTGGGAGTTGTTCTGCTGATGGAACTGTTTCTGGAGGAGATTGATCCCTTTTTCCTCCTTCCTAGTATACCCTCAAGATCTGTTCCAGAGGACTGGGAAGCCTCTCAGAGTAAGATTCTGGGTTTTCCAGTGGGAAAATATATTAAGCTAACTTTGATTGTACTAGTCTTGATGGTCCTAATTTTACAGAACTAAAATTGATTGATTGATTGATTGATTGATTGATTGATTGATTGATTGATTGATTGATTGATTGATTGATTGCATCTATACCCCACCCATCTAGTCAATTGACTACTCTGGGCGGCTTCCAACATATATAATAGCAATATAAAATATAACAACATTATAGACATCAATAATAAAGTTATTCAAGATGGAAAGAGATAAGTAAAAATAAATCAAATAATAACTGAAAGGAAGGCCCACCTAAACATCCAGGTTTTCAATAGGCTTTTAAAAATGCCCAGTGAAGGGGACACACGGATCTCAGGAGGAAGATTATTCCAGTGGCGAGGAGCTACCGCTGAGATGGCCCAGTTTCTTGTTTTTTCCTTCTGGACCTCCCTTGGCATCAGGCTCCTCAGCCTCACCTCCTGACTTGATTGGGTGATACGGATAGATTTTGGTGGGAGTAGGTGTTCCGCCAGATATCAAGGCCCTAAACAGTTTAGGACTTTGTACGTAAGCATTAAAACTTTGAAGTCAATGCGGAACTGAATGGGCAGCCAATGCAAAGCGGCCAGAGTGGGAGACATATGATGATATTTTCTCACTCCACTAAGGAGTCTGGCCGCCACATTCTGCACCATTTGGAGTTTCCACATCA